CACTATACACTACTATACGCTACTATACACTACACTATACACTACACTACACTATACACTACGCTACTATACACTACACTATTCACTACTATACACTACACTACTATACACTACTATACACTACACTACTATACACTACTATACACTACACTACTATACACTACACTACTATACACTACTATACACTACACTGCTATACACTACACTGTACACTACTAAACACTACACTACTATACACTACATTATACACTACTATACACTAAACTACTATATACCTATCAACCCATACGGGAATACCCGTATTTTTGCACAGGAAAAATTTAGTTTTCAGGTCCATACAGCGTACAGCCGTTTTAATAGGGCATCACAAATATTTGTCTTATTTGTTTCTGCCTTGTGACGGGACTTTGTAGGACGAACGTTGAGATTTATAAGGGGCAAGGTGTGACCAATGAGGTCTGAATCGGTCTGGTAGGGCACTGATAAGGGGTTGACAAGCTATGATCCAAATCCATGGATGTGGTGGTCTGGGGGTGGATATATATTAACTGGGTCGCTGATAGACTGGAATAGCTCGCACGTGACTCGTAGCTACAGCCATAGCGATGTGCATACTGGATGTGGTGTGCCGGGAGTGGATATATATTAGCTGGGTCGCTGAAAGACTCAAGTTTGTGGTGCATTACGTGTAGCTACATCGAAAGTGAGATGAATACTGGCGGTGGCGTACTGGGGCTGGACATATATATTGGCTGGGTCACTGCAAGACTGGAGTAGCTTGCACGTGACTAGTAGAAACAGCCATAACGAGATGTATACTGGATGTGGTGTGCTGGATAGGGAAAATATGTTTCAGGTCACGGGTAGACTGGAGTATGCACGTGGGTACGTGAGTAGGAGGCATGCACGCTAACCCCGTGTGTATAGCAAGTGGCTGTTTAGTGAAAAGTGAGGTATTGTATTGGGACTAATCCTTTAGGTATCCCTAGGGTTAGGTCTTAATACCTGAGGCTCATAGAGGCAGACTAAGGCACCGGTAGGATTCTGGAGGAAGTGTTAACGCCCGTGGCTCTGAAAAGCCAGACTAATGCACCTTTGGGATTAGGTGGGTTCAGTGTTAACGCTTGCGGCTCGCGGAGCGAGAGGAAGGGCGAGTTCAGCTGTGATTCCGCTGCGCTACGGTGAGAGCGCGAATGCGGCACAAGCCCCCTGCCCATCCGTCGATGCCAGCAAGGACGACAACACGTGCCGTGTCACGTGTTTAGTTACACGGCCGTATGAATGGGTAACAAGCGGCGAGTAGATCGGCAGGTCACGTGTCGTGGTGGTGGTGGTTGTGGTGGGGTAAAGCGTGGGCATTCCCACGTCTTCCAAGACGTCACGGTGGCTAGGAGATGTTAACTACCTCGCCTGGTATGCAGGAGGGCATGGGTTCGATCCCGACCCTGACGCCTGCTGTATGTTTGGAGTTTGCGCGTCTCTCTCTCATCATCATCATCACGGTGGGGTAAAGACGGCGACGGGATTTTTGTAGACCGGGAGGGTGAGGAATTTGAACAGAGTTACGACGAATTCCGAGGGTTCAACGTGGACAAATACAAAAATTCCCCCCGTGTAGCCTTAACAGAGTGTTAGGGGCAAGTGCTGTTAGCGAGTAGCAACACCTATGAAGGCCGGCACTGTGGCACACGAGGGGGTGGGTGGCCAACACCACGCCCGGCCGCCTTTGTCTCCCCCAGTGGCGATGTTTATACACCGCACCAGGTACGCATTCTGAGGCTGAGTCGACCTAGGGGATGCCCGGGATCATGGTTCGTCACCCGGCGTTGGACGTTGAGCGGGAATCGAACTCGGGTCCGCCGGGTTTGTGGCGCGGCGTAGCGCTAACCACGACATCACCGCTCCCCGCTGAACGTACACACGCACACACACGCACGTACATAAGCGTGTGTGGCGGTGGTGAGGGTCATCCAAGCGGGGAGCGGTGGGTGTAGTGGTTAGCGCTACGCTGCGCTACAAGCCCGGTGACCCGAGTTCGATTCCCGCTCACGGCTAACATCGGCGACGAATATCGGAACCGGTCCTGGGCATCCTCTAGGTCGACTCAGCCTCAAATGAGTACCTGGTGCGGTGTGTAATAGACATCGCCACCGGGGAGACAAAGGCGGCCGGGCGTGGTGCTGCCCACCCACCCCATCGCTTGCCGTTCCGGCTTTCATAGGTGCTCGTAAACAGCACTTGCTCCTACAGCCTGTTGCAGGCTATACGGGGGATCTTTGTCTTTGTTTTTGGGGGTCATCCAAGGGGGGGGGGGGAGAAAATTGCCTGGGGCCGTCATTGTATCTCGCCGTCGTCACAGCAGCAGCAGCAGCCTGCCATTAGCCAACCTCATTAAGGTGTCAGGCTTAGCAGCAGTGAGTTGGTGGGGGTGGTCCCCCGGAACCTACCGCCGTCCCCGCCCACACGCACACACATACCACACACACACCACACACACACACACATACCACACACACACACCACACACACATACCACACACACACATACCACACACACACACACACCACACACACATACCACACACACACATACACCACACACACACATACAACACACAAACATACACCACACACATACCACACACACCGCACACACACACACATACCACACACACACAGACACCACACACACATACCACACACACACATACACCAAACACACACACATACAACACACATACCACACACACACATACCACACACACATCAAACACAGACACATACCACACACACACACCACACACGTACCACACACACACACATACCACACACACATACCACACACAAACACATACCACACACACACATACCACACACACACATACCACACACACACATACCACACACACACACCACACACATACCATACACACACACACATACCACGCACACACATACCACACACACACTTACCACACACACACACATACCACACACATACCACACACACATACCACCCCCACACACACACACCACCCACACACACACCACACACACACACACTACCCACACACACACCACACACACACACCACACACACACCACACACACACACGCACACACCACACACACACACCACACACACATACCACCCCCCACGCCGGCCCGCCGATGTTATCGCTCTCCGCGCTGGAATTTACAAATGATGTCGCGAGAAATCCTTTAATTCGCGGGGGGTTAAGCGCTCGCCCGCTCGCTCGCTCTGGCGGTGTTCATCACGGACGCGCGCTTCCTCCTCCTCGGTACGCGCGAAGGTGGGGGAGGCCCCCCTCCCCCCACCACCACCCACATCCACCCACCACTACCCATTCACCCACCACTACCCATTCACCCACCACTCCCCATTCACCCACCACTACCCACATCCACCCATCACTCCCCATTCACCCACCACCACCCACATCCACCCACCACCACCACCCCCCACCCACCCACCACCCCCCATCCACCCACCACCATCCCCACCACTACCCACCACCACCATCACCCCCACCCAACACATTTTTTTGTTCGGGAAAAACAAGCGAGTCGCCACCGTGCCATTATATCAATTACAGCGAAAACGTGGAATTACTGGGGGATTTCACGACATGCCGCACGCCGCCCATCAGCCAACAATTCGGATGTCACGCGCGAGGCTGCCACCGCCACCGCTTTTGCTGAGAGAGTGGTGGCGCAGCGGTTAGCGCACCGAGCTGTAAACTCGGCGAGCCGAGTTCGCGGTGGCCAGGAGATGTTAACTACCTTGCCTGGATTACAGGAGGTCGTGGGTTTGATCCCGACCCTGACGCCTGCTGCTGTATATTTGGAGTTTGCGTCTCTCTCTCTCTCTCTTCCGGTGGTCGCGTGGATTTGGTTTCCCTCCACATTTAGAGTCAACGTCACGCGTTCGTAGTATTTGGTTGATATGAAAAAAAACAAATGTCCTTCCGAAAAAGAGCGACACAGCTCAGTTGGCCTTACTTGGTAAAATAAAAAAAACACAACACTGCTTAGTCGTAGTAAATAGTAATGATGAATGTTTTTAAGTCTGTCCGTTGGTCGCCAGTGACTGTCCCACTCACCACGTGTGTCTGTGTCTGTGTGTCCGTGTCTGTCCATCCATTTGTCCACACACACACACCCGGTGTGGACATCCGTTGGCCTACCTACCGCCATGTCAATCCATGTACCCGTCTGTCCACCTGTCCCTTCTTCCACGTGTGTCTACCCGTGTGCGACCATCCGTCCGTGTGTTCGTCCGTCCATGCGCTTACCTTTCACCACGTCTGTCCGTGCGTTTGTCCCTGTGTCCGCGTGTCCGATTTAAAACGTGTCTGTGTGTGTTCATCCATCCACGTTTCCTCGTGTCTATCCGTGCGTCCATCTGCCTGCGTGTCCGTCTATCTGTGTGTCCGTCTGTCTGTGTGTGTGTGAGTCCATCCATCCATTCCCTCACCAATCCGCCACGTCCGTCCGTGCGTTCGTCCATTCACCCACGTGTCCGTCTGGTCTTGTGTGCGTCACATCTACCCGTCCACCTGTGGGTCAACGTGTCTGTCAATCTCGTCTCGTGTGCGTAACGTCCACCCGTCCACCTGTGGGTCCACGTGTCCGTCTATCTCGTCTCGTGTGCGTCACGTCCACCCGTCCACCTGTGGGTCCACGTGTCCGTCCATCTGGTCTCGTGCGTGTCACGTCCACCTGTGGGTCCACGTGTCCGTCCATCTGGTCTCGTGTGTGTTACGTCCACCCGTCCACCTGTGGGTCAACGTGTCCGTCCATCTCGTCTCGCGTGCGTAACGTCCACCTGTGGGTCCACGTGTCCGTCCATCTGGTCTCGTGCGTGTCACGTCCACTCGTCCACCTGTGGGTCCACGTGTCCGTCCATCTGGTCTCGTGCGCGTCACGTCCACCCGTCCGTGCGCGTGCCCGCCGCCGACTTTCCCCGCCGGCCACAGAAACCCTTCCTGGAGCTGAAGCTGAGCGACACGCTCCGTCGCTCGCGCCGTGCCCCGGGCCTCGACTGCAGCGAGGCGTCCAACGAGTCGCGCTGCTGTCGCTACCAGCTCATCGTCGACTTCGAGGCGTTCGGCTGGGACTGGATCATCGCGCCCAAGCGCTACAAGGCCAACTACTGCTCGGGCCAGTGCGAGAACATGTTTCTGCAGAAGTACCCGCACACGCACCTCGTGCAGAAGGCGAACCCGCGAGGCTCCGCGGGGCCCTGCTGCGCGCCCACCAAGATGTCGGCCATCTCCATGCTCTACTTCAACGACCAGCAGCAGATCATCTTCGGCAAGATCCCCGACATGGTGGTGGAGCGCTGCGGGTGCTCATGAGAGAGGAGGAGGTGGAGGGAGGAGGAGAGAGGAGGAGGAGGAGAGAAAAAATGGGGGGGGGGGGGAAACGAAAGACGCCACCGCCGAGACTGATAGATGGGAATGAGGTGGTGGTGGTGGGTTGGGGGGGGGGGGGTGCGAGTGGGGGGCCGGCGTGGGGGGATTGGTGGGGAGGGGGGGCGCGATGGTTATTTTCTCCCCCCACGCCGCTAAATTTTTGTCGCCCGGCACCGGGTGACACGGCGATGACGATGTTAGCTGGTATGCAAAGAAGATGTAAAGGAGGTGGTTAGTTTTGGTGGGGGGTTTTTTTGGTGGGGGGGAGGCGGGGCAGGGCGGGGCAGGGCGGGGGGGGGGCTGTTTGTTTAATTTTGTACATTGTTGTTGTTGTTGTTTTAATTTGTTGAAGCGGAGGTGGCCGGTCAGCCCCGAACTCTTTTCGCCGGGTCAGCTGGCCCGCCACCAAACGGCGGCAGGCTCGGCGGATTGTAACGAGCTCTCGTGGTGCCCCCGGATCTCCCCAACCTCCCCTTCGACTGCTATTTCTTGCGGGATGGGTGGCACGGGGTGGGGGGGGGGGGAGCTTATATGTATCTTTTCTTTTCGAAGCGGCATCGTCTGCTGCTACTGCTGCGAAGTGTACGCCGGGCGCCCACTCTCGAGGTCGCGGTGCCCAATTCAACCGGGCGTGGACCTCCGACGACTACGACACGAGAATTGAAATTTCGTATTTTGTTGGGTTTTTTTTAGGCGTTTCCATTTCGCTGTTCTTTTCGAACAGCCTGCGCTCGTCGTTTGGGGGCAGAGGTGCGATGAAAATGCCGGCCGATTTTTTTTTGGGGGGGGAAGGGGCTCCAGATTCCTTCTCGATCCGTCTCCCGCAGAGGCAACGTGGCCTGGCATTTATTCAGATTCAGAACCTTTCAGAAAGGAGAGTGTCCTTATTGAGACGGGAGGAATTTTCGACGAGCCTCTGAGCTTCTTTTTTTTTCACAATGTCCAGTAAATCGCGGCCGTTGTTTGGGATTTTTTAAGAAAAAAACAGACACACGCATACATACACAATTGTGCTTAAAATAATAAGCCTGCTTTGGCCACTCTGTAGGCCCTGGCAGTGGCTGAATGTGGGCATAATGGGGGGATCGTGGGGGGGGGGGGGGAAACTAAAACCACACACACACAAAATAACGGTGCAGCTTGCACCAATTTGCCGAACTGCGCTGGCGTGCGTGTTGCGATCGTCCGCAAAACGGCCAAGTGAGACGTGAGACGTTAGAGGACGTCCAGACTCCTGACCGGGCACCTCTCACGTCAACCGACGGCGGGCGAGTCCGCGGCTCTCGACGACTCTTGACGACTCCGGCGCTGGGGGTGGGTGCGACACGACGTTCCGCGTCCTCCCGGAGCGGCTTACGACGGCGGCGGCGGCAGCGACTCCTCAAATCGACGGGCGTGGGGAAGGCTGACCCCTGCCTTCCCCGCTCACATGAAACAAATCCAAAGTCCGGTCTGTTCGCACCCTTAACCGCACGCAATGTGGCCCTGTAGCGTGACCTTGGCGCCTGGGGGAGGGAGTAAATAAAAACTCAGGAGGGGCGAGGCTGGGGGAGAGATGGAGGGGGTGGGGGTGGGGGAGCACGACAACACAGTCAATGTTAACCCCTGGTCCCGTTCCGATGACGTCCGCAGCTTGGCAGGTCGTGTGCAGCCGTTCGCCGCCGAATCTCGGAAACGCGCGCGAGCAGCCTAGCGACCTTTTTTTTATTCAGAGAGGTGTAGCAGCAGCAAGCAGAAGCAAGCAGCAGCAAGCAGCAAGCAGCAGCAGCAGCAGCAAGCAGCAGCAGCAAGCAGCAAGCAGCAGCAGCAAGCAGCAGCAGCAAGCAGCAAGCAGCAGCAGCAAGCAGCAGCAGCAAGCAGCAGCAGCAGCAAGCAGCAGCAAGCAGCAAGCAGCAGCAGCAAGCAGCAGCAGCAGCAAGCAGCAGCAGCAAGCAGCAGCAAGCAGCAGCAGCAAGCAGCAAGCAGCAGCAGCAAGCAGCAGCAGCAGCAAGCAGCAGCAAGCAGCAGCAGCAAGCAGCAGCAAGCAGCAAGCAGCAGCCAGCAGCAAGCAGCAGCAGCAGCAAGCAGCAGCAGCAAGCAGCAGCAGCAGCAAGCAGCAGCAGCAAGCAGCAGCAGCAGCCGTTAGCCGTTGCGTTTCAAAGGCGTCGTTACTCGCCGCTCAGAACCGTAAGCGACACGACCGCCGCGCCACTCTACGATGGCTGGTGCCGAGTTGTGCCGCCCGACCGCATGGCCTTGTGGGAGCCTCGGCACGTCGACTCGTGCCCTTGGAAGCACGTGCACGTGTTTTGCCTAGTGCTCGAGCATCCTTAGAAGAGGAACCCTTGTCCCTTGCCCCTTGCCCAGCACCCCCCCCCTCCCTCCGTCTTGCCTTCACATCATTGCCGTCCCGGGGTGTAAGACGTCTCGAGGGTGGCATCGTGGCAAAAAAACGCGGCCTCGGAGAGAGCGGGAGGTGCGCCGTCTCGCGTGGCGTAACGCACGTGACGTGACCCGCTCAGCGGAGGTGCCGACGACAAAACAAACAAAACACAACAACAACAACAAAAGGAGCGACAGATGAGTCACCTCGATGAATCCGCGCTCAGGACGTAACGGCGGTGGCGGTGGAAAAAAAAACAAAACCCCATCGCAAGTAAGCAAAAGCGAATGAGCGGCGAAACGCCACGGCGCTCGAAATGTAGATGCTGGCGTGGGGGTCTACTCTCCAACGCACAACAACCCGGTGAGTGCTGAACTGGTCACGAATTGGCACGTTTTGTTCACGTGACAAACCATTACGAATTGGCTGTGTCGGGTGGTGGAGGCGGGTTTGAACCGAAAAAAACCTGTATTATGGAAATAAATAATTAGTTTACAGCCTTTGTCAATACACTGCTGGACGAAGGCTTCCCAACTCCGCGTAGGTCAAGGGCGGTGGTGTCGGGTTTTAACGACGCGTTTATATTCGCGCTGTTGTCGATAACATTGGGTCTACTACGACGATGATTCGGTGTCCATGGGCAGACGTCAAAAGTTTTGGCGATCGCGCCCAATTGAGCCGACGGTGAGCCAAGAGGATTTGAGAGCTGCCCACCGATTCTCGAGACACCGACGCCACCCACCCACCCAACCGATCCACGGACAGCATTTTTACCGCGTGTTCTCCGGATTATAAGATGCCGAGGAGTTTCAGTTTTGCTTCTTCCACCCCCCTCCCCATCGCCCGCCCCCTTTGTATTTTAAAACAAAAAGTCGGGCGTGCATCTCCTCTATTTACTTCCATTCAATTGCTCAGAATCGTTCTTCCAGAGGATATCGTAATCATCGACGGATCGATGGGGGAAGGCTTCCCATCGCAGCGTATTCTCCCCCGACGATAAGGCGAAATGACCCAACCAACGTTTGAGGCTGCGACAACACCTTCCACCGGAGTGTCTTATAATGAAGGGGAATACGGTGACGATGAGAAAATATTAAAGACCATCCCTCGCTAGTGACGCCACCCGTAGTGGTGTGCGAGAAAATTCACTCCTCACCACCGTGGGATAATGTTCCTCCCTCGTGGGCTGGCCCCGGCCAAGCTAGGACGCCTAACAGCGAGAGTCACGCAGAGCGTCTGCCCGCGACGATTCCCCATACGTAGTCGCACCAACACGGCCACTAGAAAATTCCCAGGGGTGCCATGTGAGGTTGGCGGGAATTTTGGCCGCCACCGCAAGGAGAATCCGACCCCGGAACGTCGTCTCGTCGCTCAGAATTAAAGTTGCCCGTCCCCCTGTACCGCAAACACAAAAAAGGGCTGACAATTTTTTTGTTGAAGTTCTTCCAGAGGGGAGCGCAAGTTTTTTATTTTTATTTTTTATTTTGGTATTTGTTCTGTTTGCAGCAACTGTCGCGTTTCATGTCGACGGTTATTTGAGCGCGCCAGATGATTCCGTGCCATCAGCAATCTCTCGAGGGCGTGCGTGCGAGCGTGCGAGGGAGCGAGCGCTACCATCGGTCGACTCTACTTCTCTTTTCCTTTTTTTTTTCGCAGAGACCCACAAAATTTGCGCCAAATTATGACTGGCTTGGTCGGCTGGACTAAAACTAAAACAACAACAAAAAAATGAAAATAAAAATAAAAACGACGCGGACATCTTTGCCCAAACGCGTTCGCTTTTGCGAGGAAATGCTCTGTACAAAAAAATATATTATAATAATACCACAAGCTGGCACGTTACGGCAAGACCGCATTGCCTACGTAATCACTGTACCCCTCACCCCAGAGGCCCGCAGTGGCTGCCAATAGAGCGCTGTTGCTCGTCGGCTGCTTAGAGAGCTGAGGAGCGCCTTGAATCGAGCCACGATTTATAGAATTTGTGGGTGAGGGTGGGTGGCGACGGCGGTGAGGGGGGGGGGGAAGATGTACGTTGAACTTCTTTCGCACCGTACGTAGCCAACCGTGATAATCGGAGGTGCGCGGGGGGGGGGGGGGAAGGACAACAAACTAAACACGAAAAGCAGTTCTAAAGAAATGAGTTTTCAACCGTGCTGATTCAAAAGTGCATAGGCACCCAGTGGCTTCTTAAACTCAGAAGGAAGAGAGCGTTCCAGACGGCCACAGGAAGCGCATCTGAAAGCGCCGTGCGATGCGGCGACCACCGTCTTTGTTCGATGGCCGAGCCAAAAGCTGTCGCTGCTGCTGCTGCTGCTGATGATGATGATGATGCGAAGACAACCGGAGTTTGCGTGAAGACACGACGATGGTTGGGGTGGATTGCAGCGGTTGAGCAGTGCAGGCGAGTCTGGTGGATCGAGGCCCTGCACAGGGTGATGCGGAATCGTCGAGCGCAGTGTTGTGACCTGCAGTGTGGTGGTTGGTGGTGGGTGGTGGTGGGTGGTGGTGGGTGGTGGTGGTGGTGCTCGTGGTGTCCTCAACGTGGGTGGAGGAATCGAGCGAGTGAAGTTGATGCTTCCTGTTACAAGCTGAATAAGAAGAAGAAGAGAATGTTGCCATGTGTTCCGGTGTTGCTGTTGAACGCTTTAACCACGAAGGGGTTACGCATTGGCACTGCCTACCTGTGACGAGGTAGCGCGGAGGGGAGAGGTGGAGGGGGTACGGGCAGGGCCACGACGCATCCTGTGAAGCTGAAACAACTACGAGCAGCCACTTGAGTGTCGACGTGCGGCGTCGAGATCGTAGGACCCGCCAGACACCGACCCACCGGGCACGCCATCGACCAGGGGGGGGGGCTGAGCCCGCGCTGCCTCCTCCGGGGGTAGAGCTTCTAGCCGAGCCCCCCCCCGCCCCCCCCCCCCCCCCCCCGCGGGGCCTATGAGCGCGGATGCCTGCCACGGCCCACGGCCGCGAACCGTTGCCACGAGTATCGCCAAGCCGCTATGCGATCCCCCCGTGGAGGCGGGGGAGGGGAAGAGGGGGGGGGGGGGGTTGGCGAGCCGAACTTTGGCCACAGCGTTCCCGCGCGGCACGCAACTCGGAACTCGTGGACGGTTCTTCTGGCAGGGTCACCCCAGCACAGCGGAGCACGCTGGGCAGCAGGGGCAGTGGTGGGGGCAGCAGTGACAGTGGTGGTGGCAGCAGTGGCAGCAGTGACAGTGGTGGGGGCAGCAGTGACAGTGATGGTGGCAGCAGTGACAGTGGTGGTGGCAGCAGTGGCAGCAGTGAGAGTGGTGGCAGCAGCAACAGTGGTAGTGGCAGCAGTGGCAGCAGTGACAGTGGTGGTGGCAGCAGTGACAGTGGTGGTGGCAGCAGTGGCAGTGGTGGTGGCCGCAGTGGCAGTGGTGGTGGCAGCAGTGACAGTGGTGGTGGCAGCAGTGGCAGTGGTGGTGGCAGCAGTGGCAGTGGTGGTGGCAGCAGTGGTGATGGCAGCAGTGGTGATGGCAGCAGTGACAGTGGTGGTGGCAGCAGTGGCAGTGGTGGTGGCAGCAGTGACAGTGGTGGTGGCAGCAGTGGCAGTGGTGGTGGCAGCAGTAACAGTGATGGTGGCAGCAGTGGCAGTGGTGGTGGCAGCAGCGACAGTGATGGTGGCAGCAGTGACAGTGGTGGTGGCAGCAGTGACAGTGGTGGTGGCAGCAGTGGCAGTGGTGGTGGCCGCAGTGGCAGTGGTGGTGGCAGCAGTGACAGTGGTGGTGGCAGCAGTGGCAGTGGTGGTGGCAGCAGTGGCAGTGGTGGTGGCAGCAGTGGTGATGGCAGCAGTGGTGATGGCAGCAGTGACAGTGGTGGTGGCAGCAGTGGCAGTGGTGGTGGCAGCAGTGACAGTGGTGGTGGCAGCAGTGGCAGTGGTGGTGGCAGCAGTAACAGTGATGGTGGCAGCAGTGGCAGTGGTGGTGGCAGCAGCGACAGTGATGGTGGCAGCAGTGACAGTGGTGGTGGCAGCAGTGGCAGTGGTGGTGGCAGCAGTGACAGTGGTGGTGGCAGCAGTGGCAGTGGTGGTGGCAGCAGTGACAGTGGTGGTGGCAGCAGTGGCAGTGGTGGTGGCAGCAGTGACAGTGGTGGTGGCAGCAGTGACAGTGGTGGTGGCAGCAGTGGCAGTGGTGGTGGCAGCAGTGACAGTGGTGGTGGCAGCAGCGACAGTGATGGTGGCAGCAGTGGCAGTGGTGGAGGCAGCAGTGACAGTGGCAGTGGTGGTGGCAGCAGTGACAGTGGTGGTGGCAGCAGTGACAGTGGTGGTGGCAGTGACAGTGGTGGAGGCAGCAGTGACAGTGGTGGCGGCAGCAGTGGCAGCGGTGGCGGTGGCAGCAGGCCCACCATCGGGCCCGCATTGCTCTCCGCTCACGTGCTCCACCGCCGTCGCCACACGCGCTCCCGACGCCCCATCGATTGCCCAACGTTGCGCCGCCCTCCCCTCGACACGGCGATCACGCGCCCCCAGACGAGGTTGGCTCCGTAAGAGAGGACTCGTCCGCTGCCGTCGATGTCTTCCCATCACCCCGGTCGGGCTCCGAAGATGATCCGGGATCGACTCGGCTCCGCCGTACCGGCTCGGGCGCAGAGTGTTTGCGAGGTTTGGAGAGATGATGGGTGGTGCCCGGGGTTATTGATTCTACACTAAACTGCTGAGTATTTAATTTTTACCAGGTGCAAGGCCCCACCGAGTAGCCACCTCGCTCTTTTTTTTTGCAGAAGCGACCCTGCCCGTCGCAAACGATAACTCGACTGAGTGGCTAGTAGCAGCGCCGTCAAATGAGGCGACATACATTTAGTGGGTACGCAAAAATCTGTCAAAACTTGACCCATCCTCCCCCCCCCCCTCCCTGTACGCACGCGGACTTTTTACACCCCACGCCCCCCACCCCAATCCTATATAACGGCCGATATTTAATCAACGCAGAAGCGATAAAGGATTAGTAATATTAACGTGTTTAAGCAAACAGATAGTCCACCGCCGGACTATCTAACGCATTTGAAGGCCAATGTAGACAAATTAATTATTATCGAGGCTTCATCCCCCCCCCCCCCGTTTCCTATGCGTACGCACATTGTCAGTAGACCCCCCATAGGCAAGCGTACGCGTTTGGGTTAACCCCCCACTCCCCCCTCCATGTGTACGCGCTTAATGGATGGCCCCTGACTCTAAAACGGTCAGCGGCACGCGCTGCTGCCTCTGCAACTCCACACGCTTCCTCCTCCTCCTCCTCATCCTCCTCATCCTCCTCATCCTCCTCCCTATTCTCCTCATCCTCATCCTCCTCCTCATCCTCCTCATCCTCCTCCTCATCCTCCTCATCCTCCTCATCCTCCTCCTCATCCTCATCCTCCTCATCCTCCTCATCCTCCTCCTTATCCTCATCCTCCTGTCGTCGTGGACCGTGAGCTTCTCGAAGCGACGAGATCTCTGGAGCGCCGATAGATTATTGTTGTTTAATTTGTAGTTTGTTTGTCCTTCTCCCCCACACTCCCCGATTGGCGCGGTCGTCTACGTACGGCGCGAAAGAAGTTCAACGCACGTACGTGCGTGGAACTGCCTCCATCCGCGGCGATCCTGTGACATGGCGTCTCCCACGTGCTGGTGGTGTTGGTGGTGGTGGTGGTGATGAGGATGAAGATGTACTTCTTCGATAGACGTTGGCCCCTGTCGAGGGACTCGTTGCTCTGGCCCCCGTAGCTCGCGGGGTTGCTGTGGACGGGACAGACACGGACGGAGGTGACCCGATCGATTGGTGGGCCTCGTGTGAGACGTCCGCAAGTATATGGCCTGAATCTCCACACCCCCACCCAACACCACCGCCAAGTGCTTCGTGGAGACACGCATCAGCTGCGATATCCCCCCGCAAAAGACAAAGATCCCCCGTACAGCCTTAACGGACTGTTGGGGCAAGTGCTGTTAGCGAGCAGCACCTATGCAGGCCGGAAGAGTCACACGAGGTGGTGGGTGGCCAGCAACCACGCCACGGCCGCCTTTGTCTCCCCAGTAGCTAGGTTTACCACACACCGCACCAGGTTCTCATTTGAGGTCGAGTCGACCTAGGGGAGGCCCAGGACCGGTTCGGATAATCGTCACCGGTGGTGACCTTGAGCGGGAATCGAACTCGGGTCGCCGGGTTCGTAGCGCAGTGCAGTGCTGACCGCTAAGCCACCGCTCCCCACGCACACATCGGCCAGCAGGACTTCATCGTCAGCGTGTCCGCCCCGGGGCCCAATTAACCGCCTGTGCGCGGGGAAAGAATGTCTGCCTCGTGGTGGTAAATTAGTTTTATATAAATAGTGTGTGTGTAGAAGTAATTGTAAAAGGTGGCAGCCCTTGCAATTCCTCGCTCGCGCCACTCATACACTCACTCACTCACCTAATCAGTCACCCACTCATTCACCCACCCACTCATCCACTCACTCACCGATTAACCCACTCACTCACCTACTCAGTGACCCACTCATTCACCTACCCACTCATCCACTCACTCACTCATTCACCCACTCACTCACTCACCCACTCGGTCACCCACTCATCCACTCACTCACTCACCCACTCATTCACCCACCCAATCATCCACGCACCCACTCACTCACCCACTCACTCACCCACTCACTCACGCACCCACTCACTTACGCACCCACTCACTCACGCACCCACTCACTCACTCACCCACTCACTCACTCACCCACTCACTCACCCACTCACTCACTCACCCACTCACTCACTCATCCACTCACTCACCCACTCACTCACGCACCCACTCATCCACGCACCCACTCACTCACTCACCCACTCACGCACCCACTCACTCACCCACTCACTTACGCACCCACTCACCCACTCACCCACTCACTCAAGAACCCATTAACTCACGCACCCACTCACTCACTCACCCACTCACTCAAGCACCCACTCACCCACGCACCCACGCACCCACTCACTCAAGCACCCACTCACTCACGCACCCACTCACCCACCCACTCACGCACCCCCTCACTCACTCACCCACTCAGTCACGCACCCACTCACTTACGCACCCACTCACTCAGGCACTCACTCACTCACTCACCCACTCACTTACTCACTCACCCACTCACCCACTCACTCAAGACCCCACTCACTTACGCACCCACCCACTCACTCACCCACTCACTCACCAACTCACTCACTCACCCACTCACTCACCCACTCACTCACTCACCCACTCACCCACTCACCCACTCACTCACTCACTCTACCACTCACTCATCCTCGGTCACCCCAGGTAACAGAGTCGAGTCCTGGACAGACGGCAAGGGCCGTGACGGTGCGCGCGTGCGGGCGGCGCATCAGCTGTTGAATGTAAAGCCGCGCGAGGCCTTTTAACGCCTCGTACGCCTGTCAGCAGCAGCACGGGACCCCACATTGTCCTGGGAACCAATGCCAGGGGGCACGGGCACCTCCTTGACACCCACAGGAAGTGTGGAACAGATGGATATTAGTCCACACTTTGCTCCCCCGCCTTCTCCTGCCGAGCCAGGGGGCACGGGCACCTCCTCCTCGACGCCTGACCAACGGGGAAAATGAAATCTCGAAACATCTGTGCGGTGACCCACCAACCTTTGACGGATTACAGGCCACGTGCAGAGTAGCCCCCGCCGCCCACGCTGGCGATTAGCGGTGGGCTTCACTGCAAGGCCTCGCGGGGGCCACTGGCGGGTCTCTGGTGGCCAGTGGCGGGCTCCCTGGTGGCCAGTGGCGGGCTCCCTGGTGGCCTTGAGTGTGGCCCCTGACGTGCGCCCCCCCCCCCACCTGCGATAGACAAACAGCGACAACACCACATCATCATCCCCATCATCATCCCCATCATCATCATCATCATCGTCGTCGTCGTGCTGCTGTCAAACCCCAGCAATGGTTTCACAACGGTGTGGCGGTGCCCTGCTCACTCACACCCGATGCTGTCTCGTCGGCAAGAGTTGCCCACCCCCATCTCTGAAAACGAGTGAGGAACACTGCCTGGGCGAGGATCTCGCGAGCTTCGACGGTTTTGAGGCTGGACACTTTAAGGCCTTAACAGGAGCTTTCCCCCAAAAATAATACTAATAATAACAGTGGCTGACAGCGGCACCCCCCCCCCCCCCCCGTGCAAACCTTTGCCACAGGTGCCGGTGGAAAGGCAGCGGAATGCGGCCGTAGCGAGATAACTTTTTTTTGTATTTTGTGTACAGCCGTCGAATGTGCGGTACAAGGGGGGGGGGGGGGTGGCTGCGTAACACGGTGGTGCGGAGCGGAGAAGTGCGGAGAGGTCAAGTGCGGAGAGGTCAAGTGTAGAGAGGTGAACTGCAGAGAGGTCAAGTGTGGAGAGGTCAAGTGCGGAGAGGTCAAGTGTGGAGAGGTCAAGTGCGGAGAGGTCAAGTGTGGAGAGGTCAAGTGTGGAGAGGTGTGGAGAGGTCAAGTGTGGAGAGGTGCGGTGCGGAGAGGTCAAGTGTGGAGAGGTCAATTGTGGAGAGGTCAAGTTCGGAGAGGTCAAGTGTGGAGAGGTCAAGTGTGGAGAGGTCAAGTGTGGAGAAGTGTGGAGACGTCAAGTGTGGAGAGGTGCGGTGCGGAGAAGTCAAGTGTGGAGAGGTCAAGTGCGGAGAGGTCAAGTGTGGAGAGGTCAAGTGCGGAGAAGTGTGGAGAGGTCAAGTGTGGAGAGGTCAAGTGCGGAGAAGTGTTGAGAGGTCAAGTGTGTAGAAGTGCGGAGAGTGATGCGAGCCCGATCGGGGCGGGTTTCTATTTTCGCACGGACTACGCAGAAGCCGGCTTTGGAATGAGTGGAGATTGTTCAACGTCGCTGTTGGGGTGGACGGGTCGATGGGTTTAGGTGGCGGTGACGTCCGTGTTGCTGTCTGGGAAGTGACTTGGAGGTGACATGGAAGTCTGTGTTAGATTGAACCAGAAAGGAAGTCGAGATGCGATGGGTGGTGGATACACGTGGGCAGCGTGGAGGAGGAGGAGGAGGAGGTGGGGGTAGGTTACTGAGACAAGCATCGGAGGATCAACGACCAAAGGAAAGAGAAGACCTACGGCCAGACGCTGCTGCTGCTGCTGCTGGCTTTGGTGGTGGTGTTGGTGGTGCTGATAGGACTGTGCAAGTGGTCCCTCGAAGGTTGTGGGCTAATTGACGTTCCGGCATCTCGCGAAAGGGGGGAAGCGATTGCCGGTGGTGCGGTGGCACCAACAGCGATGGCTGATGATGACCCCTTGACTTTGATACTACCTACGTGTGTGTTTGTGTGTGTGTGCGTGTGTGTACTCTTGCGGCACTTCTTTGCATTGCGATATCTGTTAAGCGTCTTTTGTTGTAGCAATAACTATCGCCGTTGAGAATGATAGCAAGCGAGGCCCACCGCGTCTCCGCAGATGCCGTCGGCTAACCGTTAGTTTGTTATTTATTTCGTCACCTCTGGACGCCGTTGGCGCCACATTCGTCTTCGCCACGTGGGTCTGGTGGTTTTAAACCCAGCCTCGGTTGTTGGACCAGTCCGACTTTTGCCGATGAGACCCTGTAGGGTTGGTGACACCGAGGGTGCTTTTGCTTGCTCGCTTAAACAAACACTCCTGGACACATTTTGCAAGAACAACAACAACAATAACAAAAAGGCGACGAATGACAGGCCCGGGTTAGACCGAGCACATTTTCTCGTTGGAAAAGATATTTATTGAAATGTCGAATTACCCTCACGTTTTCCTTTCTTTGGGTGGGGGGGAAAAAGTTAAAATAAATCTAATAATCCGATAACATCGACGAATACATCGGGCAAATGTTCACAGGAGGCAGTGGGTGGGGTGGGGGGGGCTGGTGCGATGAGGGCTAGAGGTCGGAAAATCCAGTAGTATAATGTACCTTATGTCAAAACAACAAGATTATTATTCAGTAAAATCTCCAAAAAAAGATTCGTTGAATCACAACGGACCGACCAGCTTCAAGGCCGCAGGAATCCTCGGCAGGCTTTAGCAGCTCAACAGGACATTTCACCGCTCTGCGTAACTTTGTTTTTTTGCGGTTGTGCCGTATGCAGCCCTTTGGATGACGTTTCGCTCTCCGCGCTACCTCGCAGCTTCTTTGGGAACTCTCGATTTGTGAAGCTCCTCACTAATTTTTATTTTTTATTTTAACCCAAATAAGGCCCCCACCGAGCTATATATTTGCAGGAACTCCTCTACTTAGGAAAATTCGACTTACGAACTTTCAGAGATACCAACAAAACCCGTCTGGTTGACCGTTCGGACCGAGAGTCGTAAGTTCAACCACCGCGAGTTAGACCGCGGTGGTGGCATCTACATTTGCAGAACGTGAAGAACCAGTGGCATCTACACCTGCAGGAGCTAATACAACTTTAAAAAGCTCATTCCCCGTGTTTAGTGTACACGCCATTACAACGTGTTTGAAATGGACAGCAGTGAAGTTGGACTTACGAACAAATCGACTTATGAACAGACCTCTGGAACCTAACTCTCTTGAAAATAGAGGAGTCCCCATACAGCTCTTTTTTCAGAAGCAACCTGGCCATCACAAATGATATGATGGTTTAACGGAAGCGGCTTATCCCATGGACATTGATGCGGGACATTGTTGCAGTACGGTACAAGGGCGAAGCCACCAATAAAAAAAAAAATCTTCGTAACGGCCACAATGGAATGCTCCCGTTGCAGTCTGAATCAGGAATCAGAATATTTATTCATACTGGAGGAGGAATCCGATGAGCCATGAAGCTATTTTTTCACCGATGTCCAGTTAGGGGCACGGGCTATGAACGTTACACCAACAAACAGAAACAAAAATACGGCAGTAGTGCAAAGTGCAAGAAAGGTCAACAGATCACACAAACACAGACAACTTAAACTAAATCATCCCAATCCTACCAGGCAAAGCTCAAACAAAATCAACCCAGTGGCCCTTGAATCTCGCCGATCCAAGGCTACCAAACGTCCCGGGATCGAAGGGGACAGACCCGGTTGGATTCAGGAAGTCGGCGCCGCTGTCGCCGAAACTCTAGCCAATGTTCAGGAGCTACCTGAACAGTGGGCGGAGTCGCATGAATAGTGGTCGGGGCTACCAGAATAGTGGGTGGGGGAACCTGAATAATGGGCGGGGCTACCTGAACAGTTGCGGCAGAGATACCTGAACAGTGGGCGGGGGGTTGAATGAATAATGGGCGGGGGCTACCTGAACAGTGGGGCGGAGTCACCTGACCTGAATAGTGGGGCGGGGCTACCTGAACAGTGGAGCGGAGTCACCTGAACAGTGGGCGGGGGGTTGAATGAATAATGGGCGGGGGCTACCTGAACAGTGGGGCGGAGTCACCTGACCTGAACAGTGGGGCGGGGTTACCTGAATAGTGGGGGGGGGGGGGGTCTACCTGAGCAGTGGGCGGGGGCTACATTGGCAGTGGGCGGGGCTGGCATAGAGGGGGAGGGGCTACGAGCCTCACCACGTGTTGAGGGTTGAGCCTGCCTGAAAATTCGTTCGCCTTGTTTAACATTAAGACTCGGTTCATTTAATTGAGCAGCTTTTCGTCAAAAAAGGAAATATAGTTCGAATGCGTAAGTGTTTAATTTTTATGAATTGCTGAGTTATTTTTTGTTCATGGGCTCGTTCTCACATACACACACACATTAATATCCAAACCACACTCTTAGCCACCGCTCTGTCCTTTGAATGATGACAAGACACGAGCTGCACTTGCATCGTCCGCTTCGACATTGCCAGAAAGCATCACGTTGATCTCTTGGGGAGGGGGGGGGGGAGTGGGCGGGCGGGCGGGCGGTGTCTCTAACTAATAGTCAACGCATATTCTCTCACATTATTATTTACAAAGCATTTACTTGTCAATGTTGAACGCCATCCCCGCATCGCATGGTACATCGGTTAACGTGGTGGGGGGGGGGGGGGTTGTAAAATTTTGTTTGCGCGCGCGCATTGTCAATGGACGGCAGTTTCCGGATGTGGCGTGGCGTTTTAAAAGGGCCGCGCGCGATTTTAAGACTTTTCAACTCACGTTAAGCGACGGCTGCCGTTCGCGCCGATACATTGTTCCGTTACGAAATTGTTGTTTGCACTATAGAAGCACTATTGGGGGGGGAGGGGGGGACGGGAACAATGTCTTAGAGTTGAAACGAACAAATAAGTAAAAAAAATGTAAAGCACGGCGATACAACTTAAAATAAATCAAACTATTGTACTTATCTGTACATTTTATAGTCCTATGTGTGGACAGAGTAAAAGTCTCTCTCTCTCGAAATGTTGTATGTACAAATGTAATAAAAGTGATGAATCTCTCTGTACTTGCGTTGATCGTGTCGTCGATGGGAAGTTGGGGTGGGCGCGTGCTGGTGGCCAGTGTCTGCAGTGCCACTGCGGTGAGCGCCACCACTGCACCACAAAGCCTGGGTGGCCCCAGTTGGATTCCCAGCCTCAGCTCGAGTCTGGAGGGAAAACCCTTCGCGAGAAACATCGGTGGCGAATTCTCCGATGCCCCATTGGATCGCACCACGCATCGGCTTTTACGATGTGTCAGGCGTTTCACTCCACGTGCTCGGAGGAGTTTTTTTTTGTTCTTGTATGTATGTACGCTGGACTTCTTTTGCACCCGTACGTAGCCTTAAAGCAGTGGTTCTAGACCTGGGGTGCACGCAGCACCCCCTGGGGGTGCAAGATGCCCTTTCGGGGGTGCGAGACATGGCCAGATTTGTTTAGAAAGTATATAATCGAAGACACAAATTGAGCATGGGCACGTAAGTGTAACTACTTTGGTTCATCAAACCCAATGTGTTTATGAACATATAAAAATACGGTTGAGAACTAAATAGATACAAGGCTGCAGTAAAGGTTAAGAACCACTGCCTTAAAGGAACTCGACTGGATTTTAAACGAAGGCCTTTCACGACCAATATTACGATTCGCCATTGGTTCCTTTTTTGAAACTCGGTCACCGTGTAAATACGCATGTTGTAAACCCCTCCACCACCCGACACAGAGGCCAGTTAATAAAAGTGTCATACGCAACTCAAACGCGGCCAAATGTAATACTGCTTCAGCAGCACCACTGGCTTTGTTGTTTTTACGTTATATATGTTTTTATTACTCATATAATAATGGCATTTATAACGCGCCACATTTTTGCGGACAAGTCAACAACTCAAGAGCCAAGTTCGGGGCTGCTCGAAAGCCCTGACCCGAACAGATCGAGGCCTTTAGATGTTTCTTGAAAGTCAGAGTGCATTTGATGTTGCGGTTGTGCAAAGGGGTAAAGTTCCACACCACGGGAGAGTTCCACACCAAGGTAGAGTTCCACACCGACCTGGTTATGACAAATGATATCCCAATGAACTGGCTTATCTTCATCATGTGGAAATATATAGCAGCCAAAATCTCTGAACGTGTGACGTTGATTCTAAATGTCCGTTCGTCTTTGAATCCGCTTGTTCTGTTGAGGGTCACGGTGGCAGCATGTTGAGTTACCCAAAGCTCATGGCCATCATAGCTGAGAGTGGGAACATAGGTCGACCTGTAAACCGAGAGCTTTGTTCGAGAACTCGGCTCCCGTTTCACTGCCATTGAATGGTACAGCGCCCGCAACGCTGTGGACACTGCACCGATCCGCCCGCCCTCACCTGCCATTCCTCGTGAAAGAGACCCCGAGGAGCTTAAACTCCCCCACTAAGGGCTGCTGTTCCCCCCTCATCCGGAAAGCACAATCGACCATCTCCCGGCAGTGAACCATGACCTCAGATTTGGAGGTGCTGATCCTCATCCCAGCCGCTTCACACTCGGCATCAAACCGTTCAAGTGCACGCTGGAGATCACAGACTGACGAGGCAAAGAGGACAACTTCATCTGCAAAAAGCCCCGATGCCACCTCCGGATACTCTCCATACCTCAGCTGTGCCTTGATAGCCTGTCCATGAAAATCACAAACAGGAGTGGAGACGAGAAACACCCTCGGCAAAATCCAACACCCACAGTGAACGACTTTGATTTAACACCAAAAATACGGACACAGCTCTCACTCCGGAATTAGAGGGACCGGATAGCACACAAAAGCAGGCACCAGTACATCCTTACTCCCGCAGCACCTCCTACAAGACATTATGGGGAACACGGTCACGTGCCTTGTCTAAGTCTACAGAGCAGAGGTAGACTTGAGAAGCACTCCCATGACCGCTCAAATATCTGTGAGGAGGAAAATAGTTGTCCATTGTTACACGACCATGACGAAATCCGCATTCTTCCTCCTGAATCTGAGGCTCGACCACCGGGCAGAGCCTCCTCTCCAGCGCTCTGGCATCGGCTTTACCCGAGACGCTGAGGAGTGTGATCCCTCTGTAGTTGGAGCGAACCCTCTGGTCACCTTTCTTTAAAATGGGAACCAAGAACCCAGTTTGCCAATCCAGAGATACTGTACCCGCCTTTCATGCAAAATTTAAGAGGCGTGTTAACCACGGCACTCCTAGACTGTTCAGCGCTTTCAACAATTCTGGGCGAAACTCGTCGTCCCCAGCAGCTTTACCACTACGAAGGTCCTCGATTTTGCAGCGACTTCAGCAGCCGTGATGGATCCGACCCCCCCCCCCCCCAGGGCATATCCGCCGGGCTGAGGAGCACCTCAAAATTTTCCTTCCACCTCTCGATTATCTCCTTAGTTGAGGTTAATACCACGACACCCACCCTTACTGAGAACTGCCTGGGCTACATCCCATCTGTACCCTTCCTAAGACGTCGGATGGTTTGCCAGAACATCTTTGAGGCTGTCCGGTAGTCTCTCTCCATGGAATCTCCAAACTCCTCCCATGCCCGGGAGCTTTTGCTTCAGCGGCTGCTACCGCTGCCGCCCTCTTGGCAAGCCGGTCCCTCTAAATCGAGTCGGGAGACCTTTTTCCAAGCATGACCTGGAAAGCCTCCTTCTTAAACTTGACAGCTTCCCTCACCACTGGTGTCAACCAGCGGCTCCTGGGGTTGCCGCCATGACAGGCACCAACTGCCGTCAGGCCACAGCCTTTTGCAGCTGCATCGACAATTGAGGTCCTGAACACCATCCACTCGGACTTAATGTGCATTACCTCCCCTGGAGTGTAGGAGAAATTTTCCCAGAGGTGGGAGTTTAAATCTTTCTGCACTGGGTCTTCCTCCAGAGAATCCGAGAAAACCCGCACTATTCGTTTGGGCCTTCAACGTCTGCCTGTTCAGTGCTCCAAGCGTCAGATTCAACTTACCACCAGGTGGTGGTCCGTTGACAGCTCTGCCACTCGCTTCACCTGAGTGTCCAGAACATACGGCCTTAGGTCCGATGATACATCTATAAAGCAAATCATTGACCTTCAGCACAAGGTGCTTTCGTTCCAAGTACACTTATTAGCATCCTTGTGTTCGAACGTGGTGTTTTTTTCATAATAAAGGTTTTTGGGTTAGATCGCGTTATTTATAAATGTGTCGCAACTCCCCACCACCCGACACGGCCAATCAGTAAAAAATTTGTCACGTTGACAAAAGGCAAATAGTTCACTACTTTAGCCCACCGGTGTGTTGAAGAGTGAATCCACAAATTTGTAGTGAATGTTGTGGATTCACTCTTCAACACACCGGTGGGCTATAGTAGTGAACTATTTGTCTTTCGTCAACGTGACACATTTTTTTACTGATTGGCCGTGTCGGGTGGTGGAGGGTTGCAACACATTTATAAATAACGCGACCTAACCCAAAAACCTTTATTATGAATAATATTGGTCGCGATGGTGTTTTTCATTGATATGCCGTGACTAGCGCAGAATTCAAATAACATATCACCATTCGGGTTCAGGTCGGGAGGGGGGGGGGTCATTCCTCCCAAT